ATCCTCCCTACATTCTCCTCTCATGTACTTGTACATATTGATCAGATCTCTCTTCTCTTCCCTAGGCTAAATAGGCCCAGCTCGCTTAGTCTTTCCTCGTACAATAGATGCTCCAGTCCCTTAATCATCTTCGTGGCCCTATGCTGGACCCTCTCTAGAAGCTCCCTGTCCCTCCTGTCCCAGGGAGCCCAGAACTGCAGCCAGTACTCCAGGTGTGGCCTCCGCAGAGCCGAGCAGAGGGGCAGGATCCCCTCCCTCGACCTGCTGGCCACACTGCTCTGTATGCCATGCTCCAACACATTCCGGCTTTACTTAGTACTAAATAGGGACCACCCTGTCCCTAGGAAAGGACACTGCCAGCAGCACATACGCTGGGAGCACCTCCGGAGTTTGTGGAGTGGACAACAGATGGACAACTAGCCACTGAGCTGGGCAACTAACCAAGATACACTACATTGCTTCCTGCGAGAGAGAACTCTCCTGGGGAATCCGTCTGGGACTCGCGGTATCACAAAGAGCAGGATTTGGAGCCAGCCTTGGCAGAACCTGAAGCTGCGACTGTGAAATTCGAAAAGCTGATGCACAAAGCTCAGCTCCGAAAACTCCAGCCACCAGTGGGAGTAATTCCACTAACAAACCAACTTTGAAAGGAACCAAAGCAAACCCTCTGCGAGTGCAAGATCAGCCGAGTTCGGGGTGACCAAGGATGGGGGGTGCAGCGTCTGAGAAGTCTCAGCATCCTTTGTACAGATGAGGAGGCACAACCAACATCTGTTCTGGATCATCAGGTTGAGGAAGGCACCGGATAAAGTGAAAACGTGTCTCTATCCAGCTGTGAGCTCCTGGGAAAGCCAGGGACGAACCACCATGGGCTCTCAGTGAGCACTGGTGGACCTGGTTCTGCTGCTCCAGGAGGGCTCTGCAAGTCTCGTGACAACCCAAAACCACAGCGTGCACTTGGGTTTGTGCCAATGTGATGCCCTGCAGAGCTGCCACGACCTACATGGCTGCTCCCTCTCCTTGTGCCACTGAACTGCACCTGCAAGAGTCGCTGCTGACCTCGGCCTGAAGCTACACCAAAGAGTCGAGCCGGAAGCAAAGCGGATCCGCAACACAGCTGCAAATCTAGTCTGGATCAGAAATTAAGAAACCTGCTTGGGAAACATCTAAAAAGCAATAAAGACATTGGGATTCCATAGCTTTTCTTTAACCTTTGAGGAGCTTGACAAAATCAGCAGAGTGTGTGTGTATGTGTATTTGCTGGAAAGAGTTTCTGTATAATCACAAACTCTGTGATTAGTATAGCTCTTGGCGCTAGAATATTTGAGAAAAAAAAAAACACATCTAAAATATGCTTGGTCTTTCTCAATTCTTACTGCGACTCTCTGGCTTTGTTTGCCTTGCTTAGGAAAACCAGCTGGTATTAATTGTGCCTCAACCACCACCATCATGAACGGTAGCCAGATATGAGAAAATAAGGCCTAATAACAGGAATCCATTCAATTGTTGAAAAAAAATAACAATTACTGCTTAGTGTTCAGAAAAGCAGTGGAGCCAGCGCAATCAAAATAAAAGGCAGGAAGGAGGCTTGTATATGGAGAACACGATAAAAATAAACTAAAACCACAGAAGGAGAAACATAAATCTAGGTTACTTAACAGTAATCAGAATCCTCTAAACATATTGTCTGCTCGGAGCTTTTGGAAGTTGTGTGTGTGCGGCGCTCAGTCAGCGCCATCAGCCTAGTGCCCATGGCCAGCATCCCGCATCCCGTATCCCGCATCCCGTATCCGGCATCCTGCATCCCGTATCCGGCATCCTGCATCCCACATCCCGTATCCCGCATCCCTCATCTCATCCAGCCCAGGAACGGCCAGCAAAAGTGTTCTGCTGGGATTGGGCACATGCAAAAGGATGCAGAACATCTTTTAAATCAGCTCTTCCACCTCCTCTTAGCCACAGTGCTCTTAATATCACTTCTTATGTATCACTTCTTCTCATGTCTTTCCTAGCCCCATTTTTCATGAGGCTGTTTCACCTCAGTACCAGCTGGGAGGTGACATAAAGTTATGGGCCTGGCAGAGCTTTCCTTGCCTAAAGTTAAATTGCTCAAATATCCCCTGGAAATAACACCCATCAAAACTGCTAAGAAAAAAACACGACCACCTACTAATAAAAGTTATATGTTCAACACATACATGAAGCACAACAGACTTTGATCTCACAGAAAGAGATGTTTAGAAGAGAAAGTAGCCCGAAAAGGAAAGCGTTACTTCTCTGTGCTGGAAAATCTTTCTCTGCAAAATGAAAAAAAAAAAAAAAGAATAAGAATATTTGCAAAGACTTGCTAAGACTTTCAGTTGACTGCAAGAAGCCTAAAGCCAAAATCTGCTCCTGGGTAGATGTGAGAAAGCGGCTTGCGTGCCTCTGCCTCGGGGTGAAGACGAGGAGGGTTAAGACAACTGGAAGCACAAGCGAGCGGAGCTGCCTCCCTGTGCGCCTTCTCTGCACCACTCTGTGCCAACTGCAACATGGAAGGGGCTCACTTTAATTAATACCAGGTCTCAGCAGACTACTGCAGGTCCTGGCACTTGTTTTCAGGTCATCTGGCCCTAATAGGCTCACACTAGGAGGTGATTCGTTGCTAACTGACAGCAGAGATCAGTTAATGAGGGCTGAGGATTTAGAATCTGAGCTGGCAAAACTTAGGGCTATTTCTAAATAATCTGCCATCATCACCACTAGGAAAAAAAAATGCTTGAGGAGATGCTGGTTATCAAGGAAGATATTTGCCACATAAAACAAAACAAACACTCCCTGCCCTGCAGGATTGACTCCAGGCTTATCCACGTAGGGAATTCCGCATGCCATGGGCAGCCCCAGGGCTGTGCAGTGTCACACACAGTTTCTGGGGTGACTTGGGGCTTGCCGGAGCAGGGATGTCAGTGCACGGGCGGCAGGCAGAGCCCCTTGGAAACATCAGCCCTGCCATAGGGCACCCAAGTGGAAGTTCAGTTTGGTGTTAGCACCACAGCATCTACCCAGCGAGGCTCGGCTCCCAGCCGGCATCCACACTGCTGAAGGAAAACACTTTTTCATTTGCACAAATTTGGAAATGCTGGAATTAGGGAATACTGTGGCCTCATGTTTCTTCATGGTGCTTTTAAAGATTTCCCTAAGATGGACAGCTGAATTGTGCAAGATGCTCAAGTGTTGCTGCTTCTGCCTGAAACTCGTTTGCAAATTACGTGGTCAGATAAATCCCAGGATCATTTGGGTTTGGGGGCTGATTCAAAGGTGCCTGCTATGGCCTCTACATCAGTATGACTTCCAGAAATCAAACTATAAACCCATGGAGTCATAGAGCGCCACAGGATGAAGAACTGACTGACCAACCAGAGTGACCAGCCATGCTGTGGTGACAGCCACCTTATCATCAACAAGAATTTCATTAATCTGCAAGACTTTGTGCTCAAGATCTAGGACAAGTTTTTTTTTCAGAGAACCTATGTTTCATGCAGTCATTGCTGGTCATGTGAAATCCCTCTGGCACGTTGAACCTATGGTTCTGCTCCAGCACTTCTACAGGTAGCCTGGCAGGAACCAGAGGTTCTGAAACCAGTGTCACCTGTCCCAGTATGGCCATTGCTTTTGCAGTCCCAGTGGTTTCCTTACCAAAGCCTGCCAGCATCTCAGGGTGACAAAACGCTGCCAACATCAGCTCCTCTGTGTCTCCTCACCTCTATCTGCCCCTGTGGCCAAAACGGAGAGGAGCATTAATGCCAGCACTGCGGGGGCAGCGGCCGTCCCTCGGTGGACCCGTGCCCTCCTCGGGGCTGGAGCACAGGCCTTGAGCAGCAGCACGGGCACGCCACGCCGCAGTGCTTTCCTTGGCTGAATTTATAAAACGGGAAAAAATCTGCACTGAAAAAGGGAGTCAAGTCTTCCCATGCGGCAACACGATAAGCCCAGCTGCTCACTGTCAGCTGCCCTCCAGCAGCTCCCGTCTCCACAATTCTGCTAGCAATCCCAAACCTGCTCCAGGCACCACGTTTACCTTGGAAAGGTATCTAAACAAGCCCCTGATGACTCTTCTCCAGGGTGAATGAGGGAACCTGGCTGCAAGCTGGGTGCTTTCCAGAAGCAGAGCAGGGGCCTAAGTGAAGACCTCTCCCCATGGCACAGTCTGTTTGCAGAAGAAGGTCTGGAAAGGGATGTCTGCGGTTTGAGACAGAGGGAGAAGTTTTGTCTGGGGTCAAAACTGCCTTGGGACCTTTAATGTTCCAGCAGAAAAAACACGGTCATACCGAAAAGCCATCAGGAAAGGTAACTCAAGTTGCTTCTGAGAAACATATCTACCTCCTTGGGAATTAGCTGTCAAAGAAAACTCGGGCATCAGGGGAGCCTAAGTCTGATGGTAACACCACAAATCACAATTTCAGTAAATTCAGCTTTTAAGGACTCCTCTATTACAGAGGACTTCAGCAACAACTTGAATATTGATTCCTGCTCACCGGCTGCCCACAGGTAGATTTCAGCTTGAGCATTTTCATTTACTTAGACCAAAGTGCTGACCCGCCAGGGGGGTATTTCCAAAAGCCCAAGTTCGTTCAGCACATCGGCTGTCACACGGTGCAGCCTCAAGATCACTCGGTTGGGCACTAACTTGGACTAGGCTAATTCGGTGGAAGTTAATGCAAGTGCAGATAATTAATCGCACAATATTGGGCAATGCAAGCAAGTTTGCTCAACAGGAAAGACAGACTCAAGAGTTCCCGTGCATGGAGCCAAGCAGTGCACAGTGCAGGACATGTAAGCAAAGTTGGAGCATGCATAGGCAGAGACACCCCACAGTTAAGGTGCTTTCCTGTTATGTAGACAGATTTATGTCAATTAAAATAAACATGCTTGGCAAATCAAACAAGTATCTCAAAAGCACTACAGTACTACTGCAAGGGAGCAGTTAGTAGTGAAATATATAGATATAAAGCGTTACCCACTGCAATTGAGACAGCGCTTATCACAGCTCCCAAGTATCCCTGGATGAACTTCGATGTCGGAGAAGGCTTTGAAAACAAAAACAACATATTTTCAATAAGCAAACTTTTGTGTTTTAAAATACAACCTTTTTTTTTTTCTGTTCTTTGTTTTTGCTTTTTCTTTTCTTTTTTAAACTAGATACAGGTTTAATTTTGTCATGTTGTTCTGTGACACAGGATCTGTCATTTAGTAGTGGCAAAACCATGGAAATGGTTTCATAGCTTCATGAACAAGGTTAAATGTAATAGAAAATTAATTGGCACCAGAAAATTATAATGTTCTCAGTTTAAAGAAAGTATATGAACGCAATTTAGCAAACAGTAAAAATACTAGTCCCCTTATACACTAGTGATGGACCCCAAACTCTCCAAATTAAACACACATCTTTGAAAGATCATCTTGATGAGCTGGATGGTTTCCAATTCAGCTTCCTTTCTTGAGCTTCCAGCATCCCAAGAAGAAATGAAATAAACAAATGTGATGAGAAGAAGAGAGCTGGAACAGCACCACTTCACCTTGTTGGCAATCTTTGCAGAAATATTGCTGGTAGAACATACAAAGTCCTTAGAAGAGGCAAGCATGAGCATGGAGCCTTCTTTTGCTACATGAAAATCCAAATGCCGACCTTTTGCTTTTTGCTCATTCACATCTCATATTAAGCCATTTCATATTAATTAAACAATATAATGGTTTAGCTCAAGAGCAACAGTGCTATACATTACTTATGCACTGGGTGATTTCAAGATCTGAAAGAAAAACTAGGACATTTACCCAACTTGATGGGTATTAAGCATAAAGCAGCAAAGAGTTTTGTAACACAGAAATCTCATGTTTCCATGCTCTTGGACGCGGCAATGCACATAATAATTTTTATAGAGAGTTTTCTACCTACATTCCAACCAGCAATACTCTGCAGGGCAGCCCCTAATCTGTGCCAAGGACTTTTAGTGACTGGTGTCACTAGTGGCTAGTGACAAATTCATCTAAGACTGGAACATAAGCAAAACGCTCATGTCATTTCCAGCCTAAGTTTAAATTCAAATTCTATATAGGAGAACGGCCAATCTATAAATTCATCGCAGTGCCTACTCCATAGTTTCTATTAACAGCAAAGAGACAGGATTTATGTTTCTGTGTCAAAACAGATCAGCCTTGCTGCAGGCACTGCATATGTTGGGTCTCCTCACCTTTGTCGCATTTCGGTTTGCATAGTTGACGCACGCATTGTGGCTCTGATTCAACCACTAAAAAGGAAACAAAAAGAGGGAGACATGAACACAACTTTGCACCAATAAATCTATAAACACAGGAGTACCATAGGAAAACTTGTCTTCCTCCATACCTGCTCACCACTTGCTACTTCTTTTCTAAGGTTTGTGCATACAATAAATCTGCTCTAACACACTTGTGCTAAATTCATATTAAGCACATGCGCAACTGCAAGCACAAGTACATGAAAATAAACAACTAGCTCTGAACATAAACTTCAAAATTATGAGCAAAAGCAATCTAAACACTAAAATTTTACTTAACACCTTTTTTCCTTTTATTAATGCAGTGCCAATGGGGTCTGTGGTCGGTAACAACTTCAATATTAAAAACTGTTCCCGCAAATCCTTTAGAAACAGCTGTAATACATAACAGTAAGTCCAGCAACCTGTTCTTCTATCCTTTATTAAGCTCCATGGTTCTCAAACAGTGGGTCATAGGATGCATCATCTGAGCAAATGCACCATTTTAGGGACACAGATGACACTAGATTGGTATAGAAGTGTCTCAGCAGCTAGGGAAGAGTAGCACCACACTCCCAAAGGGCTTTATCCACAGCAGCCATTAGGAACAAGAAGAAAACAATGGTTTCCACTCCATAAATACCATATTTTCAACTGAGACTATTGATAGAACTTGATTCCTCATCAGCAATGGTCAACTGAGAGGAGAAAGGAAAAAGAGAAGTGGGGAATGAGAAGAGTCACGATGTGGAGTGAAACAAGGCACTATGGCATGGAGAGTGCCTAGGAAAATGTTCTCCCTGCCAACCACGATTTTCTATCGAGGAACATCTCACCTAGCAAAGTTTGATCTTCTGTTTGTTTTATTTAATTTTTTTTTTTTAAAAAAGAAGGATTAATTTAAAAAAAAAAAAAGAAGAAGAAGGATCCAGCTTGCCAACAAGTGCTGGAAATCTGTCTCAATTTACTAGAGGATTTTTAGAAAACTCCTCTTTCTAAAAGCTTCCCCTGAAGAATCCCAAGGAGCCAAGAGTTGGACCATAACGCATCTGCCCCGCATTGAACCATAAGGCAGGTAGTAACAGAGTTTCCCTGTGAACGTAGACCCATGTCCAAGCAGCCACAGGGCACGTTGACATGAGCAGGTCAAGAGGCCTCTTTCAGAGCGTATCTCCTCCCTGTCCCCACTTACCCTCCCACGCTCTGCTTCAAACAACACAGCATCTCAACACGCATGTCCTGCATTCCCTTAGAATCATTATGGTTGGAAAAGACCTTCAAGGTCACCGAGCCCCCTCTAACCATGTCAAACTAGGCACGCAACTAAGACTTCAGCACCCACCAAGGAACTCAGGTCCATCGGACCAGGCTAGAGCTATTGGAAAAGCATCTGTCATGGGCATCAAGTCCTCCTATAGACCCTACAGAGGCTCCTGTAGACTGCTGTTAATGCGGTCACGTATATAGCCCCAAAATCCTGCACTGCTTATCTGGATGAATCTCCTTTTCAGAGAGAGATGTAGACATTCACTCAGATATTCTTCCTACCCTAAGTGATCTCCACATTGGAAATATCCTCACTGAAATATCCTCACTGCCCATTCCTGACCTCCACTGTCCTCCTGGCTGGAGGCCTGACACCCTGCTGGGCTTTGGGGTTATGGCTCTGCGTGCTCCAACTCTTCCCATTCACCCTTTTTCAGACAACTGTGGCCAGCGTCCAAGCCCGTACAAGCAGAGAGACTAGTAGAGGGTGGCTGCTTTGGCCAGCAAGAGCAAGGCTCAAAACTAAGTCATTGCCCCGTTGACTGCTTACCTCAACCCAGGGCCTGACATGCCCTGAGCTGCAACATGGGTGCTCAGGGTGCTGGGGTTAAAGCATGGCAGTTTGGGGCTGCTCTTCTCCAGCTGCTGTTCAGAACCTGGGAAACGAGGTTGGGAGGAGAAAAGAGGGGAAAGAATCAGAAAGGAGTCAGGAAAGGAAGGAGGAAAGCACAGGGAAAAAGAGAGAGAGTCAGAAAGATGATGGTGAGGCAGGACAGAAGAAAAATAAAAGTAGGAACACTGAAGGGGAGGTATGAGCGTTCTTTGTCTGGGGAGCTTCACGTTCGTCATATTTTTGAAGTGAGAAGGAGTAATAAATTAGGGTAGGACCTCCAAAACAGCACTCCAATTTGGGGCTCTCCAGTTTGATGATGGATCCAGCAGATTATGACCTGGAAAAGTCTGAGAACCATTAAACGAACTGCAGTTTCTCCAGGGGTCTTTGGTTCCTAGACTTTCCCGCTACAACCCCTCACTCCAGTGGGATAGTTTTGCATCTGATCATCTCTGAGGAGCCATAAACAAAATCTGACAGTTTGTCAAGCAGTTCGATTCCTACGTATGCCTTGCCAAGTTCTACCTAGCACATCTAACTCCCAGTGAAACCAACGCTGCGCTAAAATTGGCTTAGAACTTGAAGTCTGTGTATTTTGTTAATTAATGTCTCCTTGAAGTTCATTTTTGATTTTGTGTTTTAAATATTCTTTCCAGTTCCAAAAGGATTATTCCACCCTTCTCATGCTGAAAGGTTCCTCTGACTACATTTAGACTCACTACGCAGCAATGATGGGAACATGTTCTCCTAACCTAAGGCACCTACACCTCGTCTAAACTAGCTGCTTAGGTTGGCTCACCCTTTAGTCACTTGAGGGTGATTCCTCTTTCCATCTTGGAAGTCCAAAAAAAAGTGAGGTAAATGGCCCTTTAAAAATATGAATGGTTCTGGACATCTCCAGCATGTTGCCATGCAGCCACAACTCATGGCTAAACCAACCAAGCCACAAGCCACTGGGATATATTTATTATTTTTGCCGTTCTGCACAGTCTTTCTAACATGCTAGGCAGACCCTAGCCTGCTTTGATATTCCTTAACCATGCAATTCTCTATCATAACTTACATTATAGATAATAATAAAAAAGGCAATTAAAATTTGCAATTTGGCAATTAAAAGCAAGTCTGAAAATAACTTGCTTTGCTATTTCAGCTATTGCTTCTTAAATCAGAAGTTTGCAATAGGTAAAACTCTTTCAGACACACATCCTCCTCTTCCTCTTAACTCCCAGCATTTTACTGGGCCTAATACCAATAAACCTGATTTATTTCCCAGGGAAACCATACTTCCCCTTTATTTAGTGCACTGAGTGCAAAGCTCTTTGCCTTTATGATCTACAGCTATTCCTGCAATTCCTCGGCACTGGGGACATCCTGCTGTCCCAGTCCTGTGGATAATTTGTACTTCCAAACAGGAATTTTCCAAGGTAGATTCCCACTACTTGATAGAGAATCTCTGAGAGAGCCAATGTGCAAACACAGGGGCCTACATTTCCCTGGAAGTACACACCATGCAATCATTTACATCTGCACAAAAAAAAAAAAGCTCTAAAAAGCTGATTTTGAGATCAAATGCTCTTGCCTCTCCCTCGCAAGGTGTCCATGGTAGCACAGACTGCAGGGCACCACAAGCAGGCCCAAGAGCTCCCTTACAGCACACACCAGACCTACCAAACTCTTCCTGATTATACCCAGCCACATCATTTCACTAACTAAAATGCTGTTCATGCGGACAAGTCTTGTTCATCCGTTTTTCCTGCAGGTACAAACCAAATTCTGCTCCCCTTTGCATCACATTCAGTGCACGGAGGCTGAAGAGCGTTACCTGCCAAAACACGGTGGATGCCAAGGTCTGGTTGGGCAAGAGAAGACCAACGACCTGCAAGAGAAGAGAGGTTCTTACTAACAAAAACACTATTGGCTTCTCCTTGGTGTTCTTGTGGGCACAAAAACAGCAAGTTCACTCCTATTGACATAATTAAATTATGTCAACAATATTTAATTAAATAATTAAATTACCTTCATTTCTGGGTTTGTATCATGGTGAGTGGCCATATATGCTATCCACAGATTAGTACATTAAACTACAATCACTTGTTAAATCCAGGTATTTCTAGAATATAGCTCAAATGTTGCATTAATGAAAGAGTTCAAAATTGTTTCTATTGGCAGTGAAGGTTTTTCTTTTTTTTTTCATATTTTAATTTGGCACATTCACTGCTCCAAGCCTAGGAAAGAAATCATATTTGAACATCTGAAGACAGGAGTGCCACCTGGAAGCACATGTGCTCCTGTTTGGGAGTCTGAATTTTGTTTTAAGATAAGGGGATTGTTGATGTGTCATAGTCAGAACTGCGAAGACTCCTGCTGGGGCTATGAGCAGGTTGATATGGGTATCAACCAAAAAGGCTTTTAAGCAGCCTGTGCTGCACATCTGGCCAGAGGTGAGATCCCCACGGCTCCGCCAGGTCACCCTTTGCAGCATCGGGGACCACGCACTCATGTGCTGCCTGCACAGAGCGTCCTTGAGACATGTCACAAAATGCAGTATAGACCTGCTCCCTAGTCTTTAACGGCCCCCAAGTCGTTTCCACCAGCGAATATTCAACCTGCCCTCTCCTGCCTTGCTTTTGTGGCCATGTTTCCTCTTAAGAAGCATGAAATTGAAGAGGAGAGAGATGCCAAGCACAGGGACTGCCACAGATGAACCTGAGCACGCATCTCCGGAGGAGAAGTTCCCCACTAAGAACGGGTCAGACGTGATGATTCTCACTCCTGTTGTATTATCCCCCACAAACTCCTTGCACTACTGATAGTTTCCAAAGAAGACGGCCTTCATGTAACAAAATGACATGTGTCTTTGTTAAAGGTATAAAAAGAAAGGCCAAACAATGCATTTCAACTAAAAATAGATTTCTTTTTTGGGGCACTCAGGGAAAAATGTGGATAGAAGTTATCTCTGTTGCACATCAGGGCAGAAAGGTCATGAGACTTGGCTCTGAAGCAGCTGCTTTAGCTCAATTCCTGCAGCAGCCAAGAGCAAAGTAAACGTCCCTGCTGCAGCTGGGCCACAGAGAGGGACAAGCGATCTCTGCACATCTGCAGCAGCATCCGTTGAAGAGGAGGCAACTTCTACACTCACAGACTTAACAGAGAAATAACAACAAACAAAAGGGTAAAGGAGTTGGGAGGCCTGATTTAATTCACATCTTCTCCCCTTCCTCCTCCAGCTTTTCCTCCTACAGCCCTTCTCGAAGTTGCAGCTACTTGGTGCGCTGGCTGAACGCCAACGCGGGCGCCTTGCGCTAATTTACCGCTCCCATTCAGCGTGCCGATCTGGCCACTAATTACAGATCTGCTGGTCTCGGCCAGGCCAATTCAACGGGCGATGCTCCTCCTCGCCCCAGCTCTGCCTCCGGCCCCGGAGGCCGCCGGGCTAATGAGACTCGGGAGGAGAGGGAAGGCTGCCGGCAGCGACTACGTTGTCAGCTGAAGCTCCGCACGGGAGAAAATACAAGAGGAAAATAAATAAATAAAAGAGCACCCAAAATCTGTATGACTGAAAGAGGCACGTTTAAATGCAAACTCTCCATATGTGCAAGAGTCTGTCAAGAAATGTACAGTTTCACTTTTAATTACTGTCAGGGGAAAAAATAACTAAGAAGGAAAACAAAATAAAAAAAAAAGCTCCTAAACACTAGAAAAGTAGCGACTATGAAATTTAATTGCCTATTAGGTGTGAATGGCCAGTCGTGGCCAAAGAGGCAGGGCTGAACACCTGAAGGGATGTACTGAGGAGCGCTCGGTACATCAGTGCTGGGAGCTCTCGTCTCACAGCCCCGATCGGGCCTCGTGTCTCAGAGACGCCAGGTTAAGGCTGACGTGGGGCCTCTCTGAGCCTTCGGAAGTCCGAGCGAGGCCTCCTGAATTCCCGGAGGACCAAGGCTAGAAATTTGCTTCGCTCCTTTGTTACTGGGTGTGTTTTAAATGAAATTCCTTGCAGGAGGCTGCCGGGACAGTGGGAGCTCCCGGGTTCCTGCAGCGCAAACCCCGTAACACGGCTGCTGCTTTTCCACCCCGCTTGCGAAGCCCTTCAATATGGGGCAGCGTCTCCTCATGTATAAAAATGTCCGTGGAAAGGAGTTCACCCAAAACTGTGGATTACTTCCATGCTTCAGATCACCACAAGCCCCAGACACGGTGCTGGGGCGCTCGAGGGAGTGATCACAGGCAAGAATAAACGTGGTGCAACCACAGGCGTGTCGCTTAGGGCAAAAAAGAAGCGACTGTGTCAGCACCACCTCAATCTCTCACCCCAGGAGCTGAACTACATTCAACCACTTTGCATTAGCCATAGGGCAAAGTGACAGGACCAAGCGCTGCCTGATGGGCAGCCAGTAAATGCATAATTTATTTGCCCTGTTTTAGGCAAAAACAAATCCAGGGTGCTCTAGGAGACCCCGAGAAGAAAGGACAAGGACCTCAGCCCAGCAAAGCCCCCCGAGATGGTTCAGTCAGAGCAAACCCAGGCACATTAAGCCTCTCTTGAGGAAATCCCATCCCCCTATGTTAAATGTAAGACTCAAACTGTTTTTATGCTAGAGCAGGCTGCCAATTTTGTCACTAAATTTCACAGATCGATTGGCATAAATGTTACATTTTAATTTTAACATTTGAAACGTTTGGTTTCTTTTTTTTTTCTTTTTTTTTTTTTAAAATGACAAGAGGTTCCAGTTTATCCTTTACAGCTAGTGAAATTGGGCTCATCTGACAGCTCTCGGCTCCTCTGACAGCTCTGGATTTGGGCCGAATTCATTGTCAATTTGATCGTTAACTCATTTTTGTTTAACCTTTTCTTTTTAAAAGGCCCCATACAAAGCTACCATCAAAATGTTATGTACAACAACAAATAGCAACAGTCGTGGTGATTTCTGCTTTTAGTCTTTAGCAACCCTGTTATCCCCATTTTGGAAAGGATCGTTACCTTTACGTAAGCCCTGTGCCCTGGGCCGTTGGGTTTAGAAAGATTAAATTTAGTGGGTTTTGCTATTTTCTAACAAAAACAAACTAAAAATGTATGTAGAAATAAATCTGTATAAAGCACCCATGGTTTTAATTAACAAAAGAGAAAGCACATCAGTGACCTCAGGATGCTCATCCTCTCTAGGTTTGTCACATTTGGGAAGTGACTCTTAAAACAGGCAAAGGGGCAGAGAAAAAAACCCTCAAGATTAATCCCAGAGTTGAAAAAGCTGCATTTTGTAGGCAGGGAGCTCAGCTTGGTTTTCCCTTTGCAAAACGGAAATAAAAAGCTGGAGATGTTATTTAAAAAAAACAACCAGGTGGAGCGCATGTACGCGCTGGGGGAATAATGTCGAATAGGCAAATAACTCCCAGCACAAGGCCCAGGTCCACAGGGTGTATTCTGCACAGCGTGCACAGAGATGGTGCCAGCCCCGGGGGGATCTGTCACCACGTGGCCACGGGGCATGGGGCGAGCTCGGCGTGGGCGCCCAAGGGTGCCATTCCCGTACGAGGCACCGCGAGGCCGGCAGGGATGCTCAAGTACTTACAATGGGTGTTCCGAAGGGAATGTAACCTGGAAAAATGGGAAAATAGAAAAGAAAAAAAAAAAACAAAAAGAAGAGAGAGAGAGGAAGAGAGAAAGATGCATTATAGTACACGCATTTTGGGGGTGAAAGAGATCCCAGCTGAGCACGCTGCTGGGCTAGGGCACGAGGCACGCGGGGCAGGGCAGAACGGCCCCTGGGGCTCTGCCAAATGTCCTTGTCACCCTCTTTTTTTGGCTTGTGCACCAGGAGGTGCCCCCAGCCCCCCCTAAGCCCTGCGGCCGTCGCGAGGACTCAACTGACCTGGTGGCTCCCTGCCACCGAGGGGGATCCTGCCCCCCTTCCCCGCTCGCACAATCTGTTCCCTCCCCGCGCCAGCTCTGCTGCTCGCAGACTCTCCAACAAGCTACCCGGGAGAAAACGACCCTGGTTCCTCTTCCCCGCTTCTTGCTGGACCCCATCTCCAACAGGGAAGCGCTCGGGAAGTGGTCTGGGAAGCCGCAGGGTCCGTGTTTAGGAGCAGGAGGGTGTCACCATGCATGAGACCTCCCTCCTCCACCGCCCTTGCTCCATTGGCAACTCCAAGAATGGCTTTATATTTATAAATATTTATATTTATATAAATGGTAACCTATTTATTTCTGGGTGAGCACAAAAAGCAGCAGGGCACACAGCCTTTGGAGAAAGTACATTTGCATCCAGGCAAAATAGAGGAGAGAGGAACTCTTTTAGTCCTACTGGCAGAAATAAGTAAAGTTTGCTACAATAATGAGCCCAAATCTTAATGACTACCACAAAAATAGATAGATAAATTCAAAGGCTTCACATTTCCCCTTCCCCGCTGAAGACTGTCAATTCTTATGCTACCTATAAAACATTTTCACGACTTCCATTAGAAGTCTCAGAGTATTTTACCACCATTCCCAAATTAAGCCTTACAGCACCAATTGAGTCAGAAAGGGCAAAGACCTCAGAGGAAGAAAGGATTTTTAAAAGTTAAAAACAAGGCAGATAAGGAGTGGGTCCTGGCTTTTCCCTCCTGCACCTTGCCCTTAAAATTACCCCAAAGACCTGGAGAACGGAGCCCATCAACCCTGCTACTTTTCCCATAGACATGCAAGAACGAGGAGGAGGATGGGTTAAGAGGCAACGGTTCAATTCTCTCTGCCTTATTTAGGGCAGTCTCCAGAGGGGAAGGAGCATGGCCAAGGCCAACTCGTGGTCACCTGCAGCTGATCCGGCCAGGGCTCCTCCCCGCTGTGGCTACCACGTGCCACCGTGCACTGAGAAATGGGGCTCATCTCCTCCCTGGACTGCGAAGCACTAAGGTGCTCACTGAGCACCAAGCGTCTTCCTTTGCAAAGCCAAAATGACCACTACAGTGACGCAGACCTCGCAGATGCTGGCAGGGACATCAGCTTGGAGCCACTTCGAAATATCCAAGGGACAAGAAAACACTAAGCACTGGCATCTCTCAGGTGTTTAGGGTGCTAATTCTCCTTGCTTTTTGTTTGGCGTTTGAACTGGTTGGTGATCTTAGCCTAAAAGGAATGCAAAAGCAGGGGGAAAAAAAAAGGCAACGTTTCCTACAGCTCTTGCAGCACGTTGAGTGCTTCCCTGCCGCGGCTCCACCATACCTGACATCCTGAAAGGCATGAAGATGGTCTCGTTTGTGTCGGGATGGATGATGGCCTGTAAAACAGTCAGCAAACAGAGCCGGAGTGAAGGCACAGCAACAGTTGGCAATCGGAGAGGAGAGGAGAGGAGAGGAGAGGAGAGGAGAGGAGAGGAGAGAGGGCCGTCGTGCCTTGGCAGGGGCATGGCAGCAGCTCCTCTCGTGTTGAGCGCCCACCAAAGCCAGCTATTGTGCAGTAGGCGCCACAAAAGCTGCTCCAGCTTCTGGTTCCCCTGTCTCTTTTAAGGATGCTTGACATAATTCAGTCTGAGTGCCTACCAACATGAAAGAGAGAAGCATCTCTTGCTTGGCAGCATAACATCCCTCAAGGCCACCCACTGTTGTGCCTGAGCTCAAGCAGGAAAATGCAGCTCGAGAAGGAGGGAAAAGGGGGAATATGGGGCAGGGTTGGCTCCTCTGGTGGGGACAAGGGTGTAAATCAGTGCAAACCCCTCGGGCCACCAGGGCCCTCTCACCCTGGGTCGGAACCACGGGCATTGCCAGCGCTTGCTGCCCAAGGAAGCAGCAGACCCAAGGCCTGGCCACCACAGGGCTGAGTTGTGGTTGTGCAGTCCCAAGATTCCCCAAACATTATTTACGTTTCCACAGTAAAAACAAGTCGTTCTTCCTAGAAAATTCATGACATGCCTTTTGGGAAGGCAGCCCATTTAACTTTATTAAAAATGATGGGTTCTAGCATCACTTCCACTAATTCTATCACCATATCTTTCTCTGAGCACAGTGAATATGTGAATGCACAGTGAATGCACCACAACCAAGAGGGAAATATTTCCCCCATCTGCAGACGTTTGCAGATATGGGTCCACATGTGAATCTGGCATAACCTGGCAGGCCAGGGGGAAAAACGGATCCCTGAGTGATCTGGAAGCACAGAGGAGAGAAGTGTCTCCTTGAAGAACCATCAAATCGTCTCTAGAATACTGGAGCCCGGAAATATCTTGACTAGATAAGAAGGAGAAAAAATGGAGAGATTGAAATATGTTAATGCAAAAACAAAAATCAGAATTGTAGCTTGAAACAGTGTTCTTTGCATATGTATGTCCTGTGGTAAGACAGAGCAGCAACGGACAAATCCAGGAATGCAGAAGGGGACAGCGCTGTTCCCTCATTTAGCAAAAAGGGAAAAAAAAGCCACATTTTAAAACAGCAGTGAAATGGGAAAAAGTATATAAACTGCTATTTATATATGTATATATATATACAAAAAAGGTACATTACCTGTTTTATTTTTTGAGCTCCCCACAGCTAGAAGAAGAAAAGAGAATATTACATTTAGGCAAGAGCAGCAGAGCTTTCACAGTCCCAAGTTTCATTCAAAACCCCAACCATTTGCCCTCGAGCTGCCATAGGAAACAAATGGGAGGAGCAGCTTTAAAGCAGGAGCCTTTTCAACGTCCTCCTGGGACCTCTCGCTGCTGTTTAAGGGTCCTTTAGTCACTCTGAGCTCTGATAAATTCAGGGTCCAGCAAGACTATCAGGAGAGAAGATTCTCTCTCTTATTGTGAACGATTAGAAAGAACAACAGCATGATAAATAAATAAATAAAAATTGAATTCAGGCTATGCTTTTATCCTCTCAAATCTGCTTCACATAGATCTTGACATAAATTTAGCACAAGCTTTCCTTCAACGAGCTCCCAGTATTCCTGCGGAAATCAAAGCCTGCTGGGGAACAAAGGTGGAGCAAACCCTGCAGCAGCACATAAGCAAAGATATCTTCAAATAAAAACTGCCAAATAACTTCATCATGGGCAGCCTCCGCTATTTCTCATTTTTTTTCAGAGGGCAGGAAACATTCTCACCAAAAAAATACTCAGAAAGCGGAAAAGAATGAGTTTAAAACTCTCACAAGTGCCTATTTTTATTTACTAATCATTGCAATCTAGCAGCACCAAAACACCCCAAACCAGGCACAGACAGCAGAGATCTGCATACACGGAGAAAATCCAGGTCACAAGCAGAGGAGCTTATAAATTGTGTATAGATAAAGGCAATGAGCAGGGCACAGCACCAAGAGACACTGCAATACACTGCCCAGCCCCTGCTTGTGACTCATCGTCTGCCAGATGAGGAGGCCAGAGGACTTTCCTTCTCAAATGATGCTTAAATGCAAATGATAGTTTGGAAAAAAAACATCTTTATATATATATTTCCAGAGACATCAACAACAAAAAAATAAATAACAATCCCAGGACTACAGTAAATTGTCACAACAGTGACATTGTCTTTATTACTGAAAAACCTGTTCTACCTTTCCAGCCAAGGGCTGTCTCTGACTCGTGTTATACCCCTCCGTGCGACAGCTTCCAAGCTGCCCCGCTCTGCTCGGCACGTAGGTGCTAAGTCACCCTTTGCTCAAAAAAATGAGAAAAAAGAAAAAAAAATAACTCCATACACACAAGAAAAATTAAATGGAGCCAAAAGATGGGCTGCTTCACTGGCAGCGGGCGTTTGCCAATCTTTTAACCACCCTTGTGGCTCTTTTACGTCTTTCCAATTTGTCAACATCCTCTTGCGGCACGGATGCCAGGAAGAAGGCAAATTATTCCAGCAACAGCCGCAGCGGTGCCAAATCGAGCCTGGGATAACCTGATGATTTGCACTCTGCTGTTTATAAATCCAAAGATAGTGATAGCTCTTTTTGCTTTGAGAGAGCTCCTGTTTCTCGGATTAGCCACCGGAATACCCACCTAAGCGCTGTGCACCCACTTCGCCATCCAGGCGTCTGGGGGTTAGATTTTCTTTGAGGGTTTTGCTGTTATTAAGGCTTGAATTAAGCAAAGTTCTGCCATTCTTCATCACCCGAGCCTCAAGGTTTCCTCCAGACAAATACAAATCCGTGAAAATGCTGCTGCAATGAGGCAATTACTCTTTTATAAACAACAAGGCAACCTGCTGATCAGGAGGTCAACCCAAGCTCTATGTGCTAAGCCTAAAATCCAAAGGGCAGGAGACAGGGAGTCGGGACAGCTCACGGGGCTCTCCTACATTTGGCCGGTCTGTCATGTCCAGGGGGACATCTGTGGGACAAGGATGCCACAGAGAAGGGACACTGTGTCCCAGCAATCCCCTTAGGAGCGAAACTGCAACGCGGAGCCATCCTGCCTCTCCCACAGCAAGCACAAACACCGGCACCAAGGAAGAGGGATGCTTTCCGAGCCAGCTCGACGGCTGTTTTGGTCAAGATATCCAATTTCATTAATTGATCCCAATATTTATGCATTTTCCCGCTGCAGTGCAAATATTGTTAGAACATGAGATTTCATTACTTCTCCGAAGGAGACTTTACAAGATGCACCTGATGAGTCACCTATGGATTCTGCCAGCTCATTTTCACTTTTTTTTTTCTGTATCCTCTAATTCATTTTCTGTCTGCAGCCTTTTTCAATAGCTCCAGTGCTCTGAGCAGTCTTGCAGTTGGGGGGCTTGTTTCTGAGAGCATGTCTCTATTTTAGCTAGGGATTTCATTCACACCCTCTCTGGCCATCTTGGAGAAGCAGCCAGATTTTGATCTCATTTACACGAGCGTGGATCCAAAGCATCTTCACTGGAGCATGTGGAACCACTCCAGATTCATGCGGAATTTGTGTTAGGATTCGGTCCACGATCTCTAAATATAGACAGTCTACAGGAGATGGGTCTCCTCCAGCAGATCATCCTCCTTCCTAGCAGCTCACCTGGATTTGGATGACACCAAGGTGGAGAGGGGGTACTTTGTCACCGCTCGGATCTAGGTGCAAGGAGCAAACATGCTCCTACATGGATTTGCACCAAAGAAACCCTGAGGACAAGGGGAAGCAGCCCATAGCTACATGGGCCCATATGTTAGCTCATAGTTAACACATTTCCCTTTCTGCAAAGCAACCTCAGCAGCCACGGACAGGCAGGTGCTTAGTTGCTCTTCTTTCCCAGGCTGCTGTTTTTCAATAACTCTATGAAGAATAGATTTTCACCCACTTCGCTCATGACCTGTGGCAGATAGCTTTGAAAAAAATCAACTCAGGAACTGTACTCAGCTATAAAGAAATTTTATAAGGTTATATCTGCTATAAAGAAATTTTATGCACTTACGAAGTTTAAGGAGACCCAAAGCTTATCCAAAGTAAGGAAATAAAGAATAACTCTTGGAGAATAGATATGATTTGGGGTAGGCAGGACCCTATTAGCTTTCCTTGCTTAGCAGTACAATGGCAGAGTCAATGGAGACACCAAGATGTGGGTCGGGAATGGGCAGTAGATGCTCCTACCTCCTCCTGCTTCAAGGAGGCTCCTTTGAGGCTCTCGTGCCCCAAGGAGCCATGCAAACACCCTGCCTTAAATCCCGCAGTGCATGCCCTAAATATGCCAAGCCAGGAATAACACTGCATGCAGAGGCGCCCTTGCTGAGTGGCTGCACGTTAAAAATTCATCGTGACGCAGCGCAGTTGTTTGCAAAGAGCTCATGAGGAGTAACATGTTAGGCAAGACCTTAGCAAGCAACGCAGCGTATGCAAAGACTGGGTGCCCTACCTCTGTTAAGCATTGCAAAATGTCCCAGTAAAGACAAGGCAGATGAGGAAATCTGCACAAGGGTGAAGAGTTGTAGTTACTTTATCGCGTCCATGCAGTTGAGAGGAGACGAGCTCTGCTCCAAAGCTCCTGCATCCTCTTCTTGCTCCCTCGGAGAGGTTCTCTCCCCTTGCACGTGGTCCGCCTGCACCCGGAGCGCCCCGTTTTCATGAGGCAGCAGCCTGCAGTTTGCACCCATCAGAAAGCCCCAGCGGTTTCACACTCTGGGAGTTGCAAGGTGGATTAAAGCAGAGCTCCGATTATCCATCCAACACTGAACTCCAAATATTTCAGAGTGGGGCCAGGAGCGTGTGATACAGCAAAGCTCATTCTCAAATACAACAGCGAGCTATTTTTCATGTATGTTGTGGTCACTCGAGGGACAGCCTCCAAAATCAGCCTTGCTTTCACCAATCCCCATCATTCACAGTATACAAAATTGTATAATGGAGAAGTTATGTAAAAATATAACTTACCGTGCCAGAAAAGCTCACTGAAAAGCTCACTCTTCAGACCAACAGCAGGAATCTGTCATCATAGTAATCTGGCATCATAGTAATGTGCAGCAATACTAACCATTTTCTTCTTTCTAGATCCCTTAACTAGTAGTCAAAGGGTCAGAATAGGACGCTGGAGATGGGCCTAACCTCCTCCAGGGCATCTACAACTCAAACATCTACTGCAGCGACTTCTCCAGGCTCCCTTTACGCCAGCAGGCACCAGACAGGCCATTTGTCTCACCCTGACCAGCTGACGGGTCCAGGCTGCATGACTTGCACTCCAGCAGCTCTCATTTCTCTCCATCATCTTCCAGAGGTTAGTTCTGGCTCAAACTGCGTGGCCCGAGATACAAAAACACCCCAAGGTATCAAACACCTGCAGCTCGAACTGACATGGGCATGGCTTGTTTGCCATTCTTTGGATCCTGGTGGGAATTTGAGGGAACATTGAGGCCTGTGCATTTTTTTTTCTTCCAAGCAGGTCTCACCTGCCTGTTGCTTTCCTCTCCTGGCAGCTCCAGTTCCACCAGGGCCACCACGTGAAGCAGGAGCACCCAGCAGCAGGTTCACTGCAAAGTCAGCAGGATTAGCTCACATTTCTCTCTCTTGTAAGGTTGAACATCCTGGAAAAGCCCCAGTACTTACTCCCCACGAAGACCAGCAGGTGACAGGAGAAGAAATAAGCACGCAAGTATTTTTAGTGTTCGGTAAACCTGAAACCCAGCGGCAGTCACGAGGCGGTTGGTGCAGCCCGACGGAGCGGCGCCGGGAACGCGCTCCGCTCTCCAGCCCTTCCCGGAGCGTGAGCACTCGTGCTTCGCCTGCCTTTCTCCCACTCCTCTCCTGCCTGCTCCAGCTCGAGTCCCCAAACCCACATTTCCCACTTCTTGCAAAGTGATATTTAACACAGAGGCGATGCGTGCTCAAAGCTCCAGTCGGTTATGGTTAAATGCTTTCAGAAAGGCTTGCAGTGGTGGAACTGCTTGCTTCTTGGCTCTGTGTTAAACATGGTCTAAATGCCTATAAATCTGGCTGAGGTGCCTACCCTAGCAGCTGATTTACATGGAATTTGATGTCTGGCTTTGTTACAAACATGAAAAGCAAGGTAACCGAACCCCCCGTCTGCACTTGCTCCTCACTTGGAAGTCTTGCCTCTTGGACACCTTCCAGCAATGCTCCTAGCAAACTTGACCTTAGA